TCCAATATAATGCAGGAAGGGTGATACCCTTCAATGAGATGACTAGAACCCAAAAAAGGCGTTTTCAATGGAATTATGGAAGAATGATAAGGAAACAACAGGGATTGTCACGTCTCAAAGTGCCTAAACTACTCGAGGTAGTCAATCAAAATGATCTCGAGGATAGTGAAGAGACTGGTACAGATGAATCAATGGAAGAACTTGCAGAAAGTTCTTCTGGAAGATTAAAGTTTGAGCGAGGTAAAAAGGATGAAAAAGATCCAGATCAACCCCTCACTATTCAGTTCAGTACGTTGCCTCCGTCATGGCTAGTAACTACTTACTAGCAATGAATTCAAAAACAAAGAAAAAGAAGAGGAAGAAAGAGAGAATAACGAAAAAGAAGCATGTATACTGGAATGTGAAGTTCAAGATAGAGGAGAAACTCAAATTGTTGCACAGAGTGAAGAACCGTTTTCAGTTGATGCACTTATTGAAATGTTCAGTCAAATGAGACCAAACATAGTGGCCATGGAAGAGCCAGTGATTGGCAAAAGGTTAATCAAAGAATTTTAAATGAGTTGTCAACAGCAAAGGCAAATGGCCAACATTCAAGCCTTCAAAATCAAGTTAATGGCTTTCAATAAAGAATGTAAGGACAAAACGAAAGAAGAAGAAGCATTAAAAACACTAGGAAACAAATTGGCAGTGTTCGAGTTGGAGTAGAGTATTGGTCATGAAGTCAACAAGGTGGATTGCTTAGAAGAGGAAACGCTTGTAAGAAACATGGAAGATAAAGGTAATAATGATTGAAATTCTTGGGAATTCCAAATATTACCGAAAAATACAAAGAAATAATATGACAAAGATTAATAATTGATATTAATTCTGTATATTGGAGGGGGGTAATTGTTGACATACAAAAATTGTAGCCCAAATTGGATAGTCCAAGGAATGAAGCCCAATTGTGAAATGTAGGATGAAGACCCAAATAGGACCATTGATGAGTGCAGCGGAGACCAACGAACAAAGTAACATCATCGCCCAAACTTGCAAGGCCCAGAATTTGAGCGAATGGAGTGCCTTACGGTTACCCAGAGTGATGATCCCGTTCTCGCCCAAACCCTCTAGTCGCCCGGGAATTAGGCGAATCTAAGGTGTTGTGGTTATCCAATACAGCAGTTATTGAAGCGGTTATTGAGCAATCTTATCACACCTTACAATCCAAGAATCCCGGTTGTAAGCAGTTAAACGACCGGAGTAATGGCAACAGTTAAATACAGCAGTTCTATGACAAGTCAGCCATCATGAAGAAAGTATGTAGTTATAGAGTATCACACAGTTTCCAAACAGTTTTTTACAAAAGAACTATCAGTGGAGTATAAAAAGGAAAAGAAGATATAGAAGGAAGGACCTCGAATCAAACACTGTCAACAGAAAATATGTAATTTCAATTTCTTAGTTTAACTTTAAAACACTTCTTTTAGTACTCGTGTGCTTGCGCCCCTTGGAGGCATTCTGTTTATTTCCAATTGTAAATCTTCACCACTAAAGCACCCATTTTGGGGACTTTGTTTCAAGAGGTCTGTTCCTTACACAATCATCTGNTACTCTTCATCAATAAAGCACCCATTTTTAGGACTTTATCTCAAGAAGTTTGTTCCTTACACAATCGTCCGATCCCTTTTTAATTGTTAGCGATAACCTGCGCGAAACAATAGTATATAAATTTTTAACTTCTTTTTAGTTTTTAGTACTGTTAGTACGTATCAAACATTCAAGAATTGTATCTTACCAAACAAAAGAGGTCTAATTAGACATTGCCTGTTGGAATATCCTTGAAGCTACAATAGTACATGGCAAATGTATCCGAAATTAGTGGTGTCAAATGAGCCGAGCGGCTCGTCAGCTCGCCCACTCGACTCGTACTGTTCACGCCCA